TCATCAGAGCAGGAAGGGACGTCATTGGGGCTGGGACCCAAATGATGAAGACAGCCAACAAGGGCAGAGGCTCTGAGGTGCGGATGAGCCTGTTTTAGGGGAGGAACAGACGGAAGGAGACCCGCGAGTCTGGGAATCAGTGGGAGATTGGGGCGGAGGCGGGATGAGGGTGGGGCGGGGTGATGGCCGGGGCCACATCACTCTGGGCTGTGGGCCACGGTCTGGACTCCGGACCCCACTGGAGGATGTGTGGGCGTCACTGGAAGGTTTTATGCTGAGAGTGACATGATTTATGTTTTAAAAAGGTCACCCTGTTAATTTTCATTTAGCAAACATCGACTGTCTACTTAGTAGATTCATCTAAGAGCCATGAAATGCTCTGGACGCAAGGGGAGCAAAGTCCAACAAGCAGGAGCTTTTAAAGGTATAAACCAAACATGGACCATGGTGCTCTGAGCCCATTAGCCTAGCCGGCAGATCAGACTTGATTGAACATCAGAGAAAAGCAGTCTTGAGAAATCCAGAGTCTGGACGAGCCAGAAAGAGGCAGTGACACAGAGAGCGCATGGCCCCAGGGACCTGCAGGGGGACCCAGCCAGAGAATGGTGGGTCTCTACCGTGCACTCACAGGGGTTATCTGCATAAGGGGCTTGCTCTCCCTTCCTCAGCCTGGCCCTCAATTTCCTGGAGTCCTGTACTTACAGCTCCAGTGTGGGGGTGCTGGAAAAGGTCAGGGAAGAGCAGTGGGGTCAACTGCATGGCAGGACCAGATCCCCTCTTACAGCAAAAGTCTCCTGATCTTCCTGTTGGAAACCGTCCACTCTGAGTCCCTGTGGGTTGGGTGGGGACTCAGCCCCAGGTGAGCTCCAGGCCTGGAGGGAGACACCGGTGAGCAAGGCCTGGGTGGTGACGATTTGCAGGCGACAGGTTTGGTGTAGCTGTGGCTTGTGACGCAAGCCTGCCGGGCTTCCACGAACGCGTCTACAGAAGCCTTTACCAGCCGGGGCTGGGCCAGCACATCCTGGCAGCGTGAGGGAGCATGTATCTGTTTCCCTCCGGGAAACACGTTCTCGGAAACGCGGTGGGTCCTGCCTGGGGCTGGGTTGGCTTGTGTTGCAGTCAGCTGCCCAGACCTCAGGCCAGGTCAGCATTATGGGTCGAAATGTCCTCCCCCAAATTCATGTGTTGAAGTCCTCTCAGTAGTAGATGGGACCTTATTTGGAAATGGGGTCCTTGCAGATGCAATTAGTTAAGATGAGGGCATATGGAGTAGGGTGGGCCCCCACTCCCATAGGCCTGGTGTCCTGATAAAAGGGAGAATTTGGACACAGACACACGCACAGAGTGTGGAAAGGCCGTGTGAACATGGGGGCAGAGGTGGGGGTGAAGCTTCTACAAGCCAGGGAGCGTCAAAGGCGGCCTGCAAATCACCAGGAGCTGGAGAGAGGCCTGGAACCTCGGAAGGAACAGACGCTGCCAACTGCTAATCTTGCACTTCCAGCCTCCAGACTGTGAGACGGGACATGTCTGTTGCCCCAGGCCCCAGTGTGGGTGACCGTGAAGGCGGCCCTCCAGCCCAACACGCCTGACGACAGATGGTTTGTCGGCCACGTCCGGGGCACGGAGGAGATGAGGGGACGGGGCACGGAGGAACCTGGTTCCTGCTGCCTGGGGGTCTGGCCTTAGCAGGTAGGAACCTCACTGGCTCCAGGGACCCCGCGGGGGCAGAAATGAGGAGGCAGGCGGGTGCACCTTATTCACATTTAGAAGGCACCCTGCTGAAAAAGCATTTCGTCAGGACTCTCCGATCGCTTCTTCTTTCTTGAATTCTGGTCACAGAGACCACATTACATACGGGCTGTGTGAAGTCCTGTTTGTTAGACAACAACGTTCTGTGTTTTCCTGGGAGACACACGCGGCTGTTCTCTCTTCCATAAAGCAATAGACTTTTCCCTAATTGTCTTGGGAACACACAACTTCCCTCTGCCTACGTTTGCTTTTTTCACTTTTGGGCAGAGACATGACCAGGGAGCACTATTTCTCTGTTCTGGGAAAGTGATGGCACAGACCGCAACTCTGAGTCAGGGAGACAATCTGGGTGTCCTGCTTGGAGGCGGCAAATCCACTGTTCCCAGTGAGGGCCAAGTTGGGTCATAAGCCCCATTTCACCAAAGCATCTATTTTCAAAAGAAGATAGAAATCCAGACTTTTTTTCTTTAGGTAAAATGGCTGAAGTGTTCAATACTGACTCAGTCTTTGTCTCTTCCGTAACCTGTTCTATCATCCTTTCTACAACTTACGGCAAACTGAAATTTACTTTGATGTTAACCCCCCAGCTGAGTAGATGCAACATCCTTGAGAGCAGGCATGCCATATTTACTCTCCGTCTCCAGTGTCTGCATTAGTTCCTATAGCACACAGTAGGTGCTTAGTAAATACCAGGTGGATAAGTAACTGATCCATCACCTGATACTGTTGCATGGATACAAGAATTTCATGTACTTTTTTTTTTTTTTTTTTTTTTTGCGGAAGGGTCTCCGGGCTGCATTTGACTATTAGAGGAACCTAAAAAGTCAACCTTTTTCATTCAGCCCAAAGCCACCGCGGGCATATCTCAGGAAGCTGACATCCGAATGTACGCGTGAGATCCAAGGAGAAGACAGAGCAATTTTCCCCACTGCAGCCCACAGGGAGCTGGGATATACGCTCGCCTGCCATGGTTCTCACTTACCACCATCAGTCAGCAGGCTTTTAGCAGAGAATCGCACATGTGATTTATTTGAAAATCCTTTCAGGTCCTGAAGGAGAGATACTTAGTACACAATGCACTTTGTCATCATGTGTCAACATTGCCTCGATGCGGAGAGCGACATTACACGGCGTAAGAGTGTAATTGGATTATGCTGGGGTCCTTAAATCTGCATTTTCATTTACCAAAAGCCACAGCATTTGGAGAGCCATCTGCACTTGATGCCAGCCCCTCGGAGGGGTCAGTGTGTAGAAAGACAAAGGACAGCCATAAAGCCGCTGAATGCAAACTTTATATTTACAGTGGGTAAGTGTATAAACATATATTACATTCTTACGATCTACAATACATTCTGCAGGGAGATGGATCTGCGAGTGGGCGGCGGCTGCCGCATTAAAGAGGACATCACGCGGGTACAGATGGAAAGAAATATCAGCAGGGCTACTGAAAGCAAAGGACTGTCATTGAGAAGGGGTGACAGTTTAATCGCCCCACCAGACACAGTGAGTCGACTTGGGGATGGGAGCAGGTGGCTTACGGCTGCTGGAATCCCAGGCTTGGAGCAAATGGGGAGCACCTCAGTTGGGGGAAGGGTAAGCTGGAGGAAGGGATACCCATGATCTAAGGAGAATTCAATTATATGCATTAAGGAGGGGGTGAGGGGAGAGGACGAGGAGGGAAGGAGGAGAAGAGAGGGAGGGAGGGAGAGACACAGAGCAAGAAGAGAAATAGGGTCAGGGAGACACAGAGACGGAGAGACACACAGAGAAAGAGAGGAAATGGAGAAGAGCATCGCGGAGCGGAGAGACAGAAAATGACAGAGGAGAGAACCCGCCCCCCCACCACGCGCCCTGCTTCTACGCGGCCCTCCTTACCAGGGATCCCGCCACCCTTCCCCACCTTGGCGGGAGCTCGAGCTGGGGCAAGAATCCACTCATCTCTCCCCCCACCTGCCTTCTTAGCGGCTTCCCATCCATCCGGGGATTTGGGAGACATTCAGAGTCATTCTGATTTCAAGCAACAAGGTTAAAGCTCTCAGGACAGACTGGGGTCTCCCTCTCTCCCTCAAGCTCGGGCACCTCCATCCCTCCATCAGTCCAAGCCCACATGGGGGGTGTGAACAGGCTTCCTGCCCGGCCCCCCTGCGGCACAGCGGGCCCTGGCTTCCCCCGCCCGTGCACTCCACCTTGGTCCACATCCATCACTGCAGCTGTGGCCGTCCACGGGGCCATCACAAAATGGCTCCCCCATCTTCCCAGAGGTGCAGGGTGATGAGTGTCCCTTGGTGTTGAATTCACCGTGAGAACCGTGAATCCTCGAAGACCCGCCTCTTCAAGGAAAGGACACGAGTGACGTTCGCCTGGTGGGGCCACTGCAGAGTGTCACCTGGAGCGGACGCACCTGCCACGGGGGAATGCTGGAAAGGCCCCTGTGCCCAGGCTCTTAGACAGCTGGTGGGGCAGAGGAGTGCACCTCTGAACACAGTGAACTTGCCCGAAAAAGCCTGGTTCCTTGAACCTGATCGACATTCTGTGCCCTGTATCCCTAGTTTACCAATAAAGGAACGCTCCGAATCCCCCAGAGGGCTTGCGCCTTTGTTCTTGGCATCTGGTTACAAAGATATCCGTGGCCTATTTGCCCACGTGTGCCCCTTCAGTCCCCGTCAGCAACGCCTGGTCAGTCACCAGGCCGCGCCGGTCTTTGGGTGATGGCACCCCATGATGACGCCCCCGCCACATGCTGCCCACGCTCAGGACGTGGCCCCTGGTCGCGCCCCAGCTCAAATGACTCACTGCCTCCCGTCGGTCCACTTGCACTCCACCCGAGTCTCAGGGTTCTTCCAGAGTCTGCAGTAGTGAGTTCTGGACCCACGTGGATTTCACCACACCCAAAGGGCTTTGATTCAAGAGAGAAAGAGAGTGATGGACAGAACGCGGGGCTGTTCTTTCCTGGGACCCATCAGAAGCTCAGTGATTCAGAACTCGTTTTTCTTCCAAGTTTTACAAACCTTGCCATGCACAATCCACCTCTTAACACTGGCCAAGACCCTGCGTTCCGGAACGTGTGCCTCGATCCCGACGTGGGGCCACCCCAGCCGAGCCGGAGCCGGCGCCGTCTGCTGGGGCTCTGCTGATAGGGGCCATCTTATCTTGTCCTGTCACTTCACTCCTTTCCCGGGGGCGCCCTTGCCACACGTCCCCAAGTTAAAGGCTGAGAGGTGAGTGAGAACCCGTGTCCGCGAGTGTCTGGCTTACACATCCTCACGTAACCTTTCCATGTAGCCGTGTGGCTGTCTGCTTTCCCCCGGGTCCAGATCCTGGCAGACCCAGCTCATGTCCTCACCGCTGGTCGATATGGAGTTCACGGTGGGGCATCCTTCATCCGAGGGGATGGTGGTGAAGGTGGTAAATTTCACTCTTTTCCTTTTTGAGGTAGGGGATGTCGGGGGCTCGATTCTCTGATCCTTCCCGTCCACAACGGTGGGGCCCGAACATTTGAACAGCTGTCCATTGATGCTCTTCTGGGAGTTTGTGCTGAGCAGATACTTACTCTCTTCGAAATCCATGCTCCTGTCAATGGCAGTGATCTGCTCGTCCTGGCAGGATGCAAAGTTCATGTGGTTCTCCAACAGCTCGGAGCGGTGGCTCAACCCGACCCAGTCGTGCGAGTGACTCAGACCTTCTTGCTCCTCCAGGGGAACCTGCTTGTGCCTGTATTTCAGCGCAAAGGCCACACAGTTTATTAGGAAGACCAAAATGGCCAGGCAGAAGACCCCCAACAGCGCGTACATCCCGATCTCCAAGTCACTCAGCCCTTTGGATGCCTGCGTGAGGCCATTCTCGTCCGTTTCCACGTTGCTTCTGGGCAGGTCCCCCCGGGGTGGGAAGCTGGTGAGGTCGATGGGGATGGTCTGCAGGTGGCTGTCATCATCTAGAAGGCTTCCTTGGCTCTTCTTTCTCTGGAAGGTTGACCTCTCTGTCGTGGACCCTCTTCCTTCCATGAGGCCCACGGAAGAACTGCTATAGTACTGACTCCCCTGGGTCCCCCATTCCTGCAAGGGTTTTTTGGGTCTTCTGTCACTGACGTTATTTTCTAGGTGAACTCCTGCCCCAGTGTGTCTGCTGTCACTGGTGTTGGGGTTCGCATCATTTTGGCCAAACTTAACTTTGATGTTGGCTGTCCCCACAGCCAGCACACTCTTCCGCTTGGATTTCTGGCACGATTCGCTGATGACCATTTCGACCTTTACCAGAGCACCCTGCCCTTCGGTTTCAGCAGCGATGATAGGCCACTTGAATTTGGGGTCTTGGTGGATGGAGACCACCTTTTCGTCCAGGGAGGTGGTCATCAAGGAGAAGTCTTTCCCATCGTAGATATCCAAGGGGGTGATGGAGCCATCGCTGAACTGGACCCAGCAACTGATGGCCGCTTCCTGTTGAGTAAAATAAGTCAATAAGCATGGGCCCCAGAGCTCACGGAACACCAAGTCTTTGTACAGTAGACATTCGGTGGCAAAAATAATACAACAAGAACAAAAGAACGCCTTTTAAGCAGTGCAGAAACAAGAGGCCAGACGCACGAGGGTCATGGAAGAAAACCAATGCTTATGGAGGTGGGAAAGCAAAAACACAAGCAAGGCCTTGATATGAGAATGAAGGGAAGCCCATGTTAAACGCCCCATAAGAAGATCTGCTTTTCTCCCCGAGGTGTAGAAAGAAAGATGGGGTTTTTAGGGGTGCATAAATTGCATGTCAAAGGGTATTCCTGGTTAGTGGGATCATGTACGAATGTCACACATTTCAAGGGAAAATATTTATGACATTATTTTTAAGCTGTTTTAATCCCGAGTCTCCCCTCACTACTCACATAAGGGATGAAAACCCCCCCTTATCTGGACAGGGACACCCAGAGTTATCGCCGGCTTTGGTGGTGTTGGTCCTGCTGCGTCTGGGACTATGGGAGTAGGTTTGTATGAGTTTCCAGACACAATGTTGACTTGGAGACAGGGAGTTCAAACAGCCAGGGAGAGAGGCACTCTACGTGGACTGTGTCTGCCACCCTCTATCCCCTCAACCAGTCGGGGGAGCTGGGGAGACCAAGGAATGGCCAGGGCCAAGGTCTGCACACATCTCAATCTCTTGCCTTTTTACTTTGTTGCTTTAGATCAACCCTCCTTGGGACTAGTTGGGCCAGGCAGACCGTAATAGAGGAGATAACTCTCTGACTGAATGCGAGCCTTTAATTTCGGGGAAGAGGTCATTGTGCTTGACCATGAAATGGCCCTCCCTTCCCCACATCTCGGAGAACCTGCTCCACCCCAAGCCCAGAAGGATGAATGGCCTGGAGAGGCACATGACTCCACACACCCGGCCACGGCGCCACAGCGGATTGGACCGGGGACAAGGGGGCAGGAGGTGGCCTTCAGAGCCGTTCATCTCCGCAGCCTGAGCCAGTGAGTATCTCTCTCTCTCTCTCTTAAATTTGAAATAAGACAGATGGGATTGAAGCCTGAGCTGCGGGAAGATGAGTGGGGACTCACATAAAACTAGGGTGTGGAGCCCACCTCCGAGCCACCACAATGGATCAGAGATAAGCAAATATCTGGGCCCAGCATTTATTACAGGGAAAGAAAAAGAAATACAGCAGAAGGAACGGCGCAGGGGAGGGAGTGTGGTGTGGGCGTGGGGAGACTGCCGATATCCTGCCTCTTCCGAGTTCCTACAGCTGGGGTCTGGGGGAGCCCCGGTCCTGGTAATAGATCCCTCATGCTTTAAGCTTGCCTGAGTGGATTTCTCTTTCTGGCAACCGAAGAGCCCCTGAGCATGAGCGAAGCCAGTTTTACCCCGGTGCTGTCTGGTGCTGGAGACTTCCTTCAGGTCTGCCACGAGACACGGCTATTGTTAGGCAGCTACTAATTGCAGAACGCTGCCAAGACACAGCGCAAGAGCCCCTGGACGTGACATCAACTGACCAGGTTCTTCCAATCTGCCAGGAAATCGGAGCAGGAAACTCAAATGCCATCGGATTTCTTGAGACTGAAATGTCAGAGCCAAGTGCACGCAGGGACTAAGGGCCATCCAAACCAAGTATGGAGCCGACCACAGGGGAGCATGCTCAGCTCTGCATGTCACAACTGGATTAGCTCTCTGGCCCTGTCGAACTGTGTCTTATTGCTTCCTTAAGTCCTGACTAGAGGTCCCCTGATTTTATCACCCCATGAAGACAGAAAGCAGACCCGGCTTATTTCTCCTTTGTTATCCGTGCCTTGCATCCTGGCTTATCCCGCCCTGAGGAAAAGGAGGTTTGTCTTTCGCAAGAATTCCTATCTGTTACTGGAATCATCCATGTTCAAGTGTTTTATAATCCAAGCCCCTGCACACAAAGACCATAGCAAAGGGGCAGAGGGATTAGCCAACATAGGATGAGGAGCTCGAGGGACAGGTGCAGGCTGGGAAAATGGGAGGGTCCTGTGTGTCCTGGGACAAGTCTGGCTCGGCTCAGAGCACGGTCACAGTCTCAGTGGTGCCAGGGGTGGGGCTGCCCAGGGGACACCTGCCAGGAAGGGTTCCCACCCAGAAGGGGAGCCGCCAGGAAACCCCCCACCTGGGCTGGAGGCCCTCGAGCAGCCCTGCAGGAGGACGGTCCCGCTTCACGAGGCACAGAGAGAATCAACAGCCAGAGACCGCTGTCTCGTTGCTCAGCAAGGTTCACCGAAGCCGCCATGTTCCCTCTTAAAAAATAAAACGTACTCTCCTCTGATGAGGGAGGAGCACATAGAACATTTGCGAATGTCCTTTTTCCAGCGCCCATCGGAAACCATCCCATCAACACACACACACACACAGCACAGGGTCAGCACCTGCTGGTGTCTAGTTCAGGGAAAGGAGATGCTGACTGACATCGCCATGGGGTCCTCACTTCTGCCCTGAGCTCAACTGCCAAGCCTGGCGGGAGCGACGCCTCCAATCTCCCATCACCCCAGACCTGCTACCCCATTTTCCCTGCAGGGACTCCGCAGCAGGCTGGGGGCACCTCCCCAGAGGCCCCTCCGCCCCACCCGCGGCCATGGGGGCAGCGGAAGAGTGTGAGACAGCCCAGGTATGACCCACCTGGTGCATGACCTCACTTGATGTGTGTCCCACCTGATGTGTGACCCTGGTGCGTGACCTCACCCGATGTGTGACCTCACCTGGTGTGTGTCCCACCTGGTGCATGACCCACCTGGTGCGTGACCCTAGCCCCGCCTCCATACCTGTCTGGGCCTTTGCAGAAGCTCCTGAGCCGCTGCGGTGGCAAAGATAGCTCTGTTGCTCCCTGGGCTGAGCTGCAGGGAGAGTGACAGCCCTGTCACCAGCTGGACCCCGAGGTCTGTGATGGTCACCTTCTCATCCAGCACGGTGATGGTCTTTTCTGCCAAGATGGCATCTGACAGAGGCGACAGGATCTGAAAGGCAGAACCAACATGGAAGGAAAAGCTTGCTGTGGCCCCAGAATTTCCTCCCATGGCATAAATGATGCTCGTAGAGACAGACGACCGAGCCAGAGTGAACAGAAACGGGTCTTTCCCACGGATGTCTTCTTCCAAAAGGCGTATCTCGCATGATGGGGGGGATCTGACGCCCCCCCACTACACAGAGAGACCCCGGGACCCACCAGGCGCCCCCGCAGTCCTCCCGAGGAGGAACCGGCTTTGCCATTCACTGGGTGCCAGCTTCACGGGGCTTGCGCTGCACAATCATTTTCTAGTACACGTGCATGTGCATCAAATAATCGGTTTAAGAAACTTCACAGCAGCAAGGAAAAACTGATTCTGATGTGCTAGTTACGCATTTATGTGCTTCTTTCTTACACACGTGTGTGACTGAGAGGAGACTGTTGGCCCACGTGTCACCTGAGTCATCCCGTGTGTCATGACAGCTCACACTCCATACCTCGGGCAACACGGAGCGTTTGGGAGATCAGCTCGCATCCCCAGTAAACAGAGCTGTGAGTCTCCACCACCAGAGCTGACACCCCAGAGTCTCATTTCTCCTGCGGACACCGCGGTCCCGGGGAAATGAAGCTTATGCCCCATTTAGACCCTGCAGAGGAGGTCCTGCTTTTGTGGAACCCCTTGTCCCGCTCACCCCTCACTCAAGTTTGAAGAGTTAACTTTGGTCCCCGTGAACCCTCAGCCTCAACCCTGGATGACACGGCTTCCAGCTTCCCTTAACCCACATTCCTGACACGCTTCTTTCTGCGAGGTGGTGCTGATATTTATGAAGACATATGTTGAGATGGCAGTTTTCCCAGGACCCCTGAAATTTGTGTACCGAGCTCCATAATTCTATCCAAATACCACCTTCGGTCTCTAAGTCTGGTTTGGACAATTTGAACGGCCATGAGTGTGAGTTACGAGTCCCCCAGAGGAAGTGGACAAGCGAATTTATAGCTCAGGAGGACTCAGTGGGAATAAAGAAAAGGGTGTCAGGACTCTCTGCCCCACCAGGACAGTGTCTGTGTTGAATGCATGGGAAGCCGGCCCCCGTCCCCGGCCCGGAGCCCCGACTTGTGTTGCTGTCCCGGTCCTTGCACCACCACATGGGGCAGTGGTGAAGGCCACCGCTCCTGGTTCCAGTCCCCAGGTGTCAGCTTAGCCTGTGGACAGGTGGTAGGAACTTAGCTCTTTGGTTTAGGTCTTTCAACTAAAAGTCAATCACGGAGGTTTCGAGCTCCTGTCTAGGGGGCAGATAGGTTCTGTTTGACGTAAATGAGACTTTAAAATGGAATTAATGGCCACCCCTAAAAAAAAATCATAGGATTTCATACAAAAAGATCTCTCACTTTTCTGGAAAGGCTGCAACATCTGGCCGTGCTAGATCTGCATTTCCTTTGGCAGCCCCGCCCTCGCCGCACTCCTCACCGGCCCCTATCGTGTTCCCAGCACTCGGGGCCCAAGTGAGCGGCTGTCTTTCAGCTCACGCCCAGGCAGCTTTGCTCACTGTCACCTTGTCCAGTCTTTGAGATCATTGGAGCAAGTGACCCCTGGGTCACTTCAAACCCGTCTATTTGCCTCCTTGAGTAAAATGATCTCTTTTAAATACCAGCCAATTTTCCAGAGCAGATACGCTTTAAATCTTGCATAATCAATACTTTCACTGACGAGGTTCCTCACGCACAGCTGTGTCAGAAACCCCACTGACAGGCTAGTAGCCCGACTGGGGGCAGCTGCTGAACCATCATATTGTTCTCAGACGGGAGGTAGACCACTAAACCCAGGGGACCTCCCAGGACAGCATTTTGGGGGAGTGTTCGTTCCAAAACCCCATGTTGCATCCTGGTCCTGCCCCATCCGTTCCTGGCTGCAGGTGCCCCCGAGACCGTGAGGGGCATAATAACTTCGTTCCTCTCCTCGGCTCGTTTCTGAGACGCCCTAGTTTTCACTGGGCCTGGGGTGGGGCTTGAGGCAGCGTGGCATCACGGCAGGATGGAATGCTGTGACACGGGCTGATGGTCAGTGGGGCGGAGGGCTCAGCGAGAAGGGCTGGCCATGCCCATGGCCACGGCTCCCGTGAGGCCAGCTCACGCCCACAGCCTTCTCCCCACGATGGTAACACCCAGCATGGTGTAGGGACAGTATACTGGGGTTTCAAACATGACCCACCCAGAGGAGCCACCCCGTGTTTGTCAAAGGCAAGCAGTAAGTGAGGAACTTCAAGACTCTTGTCACCTCCTTACACCAGTTATATTATTCAGGTGACAATTTGGTTCACTCTAGAAATAGACGTCCTAAGTAATGACAAACAATTCTCATCTGGGCAGAGAAGAGGCAGGGATACGGAGGGTACTTGCGCTGGGGGTTGCTCACCTGAAGGGTGGTCATCCCAAGCTCCTGGCCGATCAGGACTTGTCCCTGCTGTAGCTTGGCGATGCGGGGCTCCTCCACCTGCATGAAGTCATTCACCAGCTCCGTGATGTCCACCTGCCAGTCTGAGCCCAGCAAGTGGGCCAGGTGTCCGCCCCGGTCCGCCGCCTCGGCCACAAACTGCGTCAAGACCCGCACCATGGCGTGCTGGTACTGGAGCGTGCAGCCGCGACCCGCCCTCCTGTCGTCGTCCTCCTCTTCCTCGCTGTCCCGAGCCGGCCTGTCAAACGGTCAGGTCAGGTTAGCGGGTACTGACTTGGGCCAACGGCAGGGGCTGCAAAGGGGAGCGGGCAGTGAGCCCAGCCTGGTGGGGCTCAGACGGAACACAGGTGATACCCCGAATGCCTGACCATCAGAAGGGGCTGGTGTGGTCAGCAGAGATCCGAGGTGTCCCCGGTGAGCCCCACCTCCTGGAACGCACTGTGCAGAATCCCCTCCCTTTGAGTGCGAGCTGCTCCTAGTAACCTCCTTACAGTGGAAGATTATAGCCAAAGTTAGGGGATGTCACTTCCAGCATTCGGCTTTAAAACAGACTGTGCCATCTGTCTTGCTTGGTAGTCTTTCCTTGGTTCTTCTCTTGCTTGCTCTGAGGAAGGAAGCTGCACGTTGTGGGCAGCCCTGTGGGGCTAGCCACATGCCAGAGCAAGGGCCAGCGAGGAGCCGGGAGCCGCCGTTCCACAGCCCGGGAGGAACCGCGGCTGCCGACCACCACGTGGGCTGGGAGGCAGGGCCCTCCGCACCCTGAGCTCCGGCCAATACCCCGACTGCCGTCTGTGAGAGACCCTGCTAAGCCAAGCCTGCATTCCTGATCCGGAGACACTGTGAGATCATACGCCTCTGCTTCAAGCCCTGAGGTCTGGGGACTCGTCATCAAACTGTGCAGCATGGGTAACTAACCTGATAGGGCTGTGGGTGACCGCAATAGCCCCATAAACCGGCACACAAGGGGTGCGTATCGCCCTCAAGGTAACGTGACAGTAAGCACAGAAAGGACCGGGATGGTTTGGCTCGGGGACAGATGTTGGCTGCCCTGCTCAGGTCTGATGGCTCCGCCCAGCCACCTCTTCCTGGCGCAGCGTGGTCTCCATCTGAGCATCAGCCCGGGTCTGTGGCTGGATCTGAGCTGGACAGCGTGACACTGAGATGTGCCACGATCACACTCAGCCAGTCCCCCGCACGTCCTCCCGGCGGCTGCCCGCCTCGCAGCATCAACAACCTCTCCTAACCCCACCCCGCCAGCTCAGCAGCACGGACCCCGCGGCCAGGGAGAGGGTCACTGCTGAAACAGTCTTCCAGCCTGCATTCTCGAAGCTGTCCCCTCCCCCAGGGCACAGGGACTAACGGGTGGAGATCGAAGGGCAGAAACAGAAAGGGCATCCCTCAGAGGACACCACCTGTCCTCCCTGCTGAGCACAGACACCTGGAGTGCTCCCTTCTCTAATTCCGCGTATGCTCACTCTCACCTTTCTGCAGGTGGCTGGCGTGCCGGTCCCTGGTCACGGGTTTCTCTGAGACGACAGAGTCTCTGAACAAAGAGCCTGATCTCTTGCTACTCTCCTGGAACCTGGTGAGCCGTGTGGATAAAGGATACCTGTCCCTCTAACAGACGCCTCAGGGTAAAGGACCAGGCACAGGGGGTCAGGCTTCTGACTTCATCTCCCCGAGACTCAGCAGTCTCAGAGCTTCTGGGCTGGGAGCACCGAGAGGCTGCCCAGGTCAGCCAGAGTCTGCTCCCAGGTCTCTCTGGGGGGCTTCTGTCGTTTGTGCCTTCCCAGAATCAACTGGCCCCTTCTGGTATCAACTATCGGTTCAGGCGGGGTTGACCTCTTCCAGGTGCTCTGATTCCAGGCAGGGGTTTGTGCTGAAGGCTCACCGGACAGACCGTGTGCTCTATGTCCTCGCTACAGTACTGCGCTGGGGACGGGCACACAGCCTGAGTGAGGCTAGCCTAACTCCAAGACCTCTGCTGGAACCACTGGGAAGGAGAGGATGCACTTCTTGCGAGTCTGGAACTGCAGAAGAAAAGCCTGGTGGAGGACGAGGCCAACACACGGCAAACCAGCCCGCCAGGTGGGGACAGAGTCCATCCTGAGGGTGCCGTTTGAATCCCTGGATCCAGTCATGCCTGAAATCAGCTACCCTGCAAGTGTCTGTTTTTAGTGGAAGCATATTTGACTCGGGTCTCTGAGAGGGAGTCATGACTAGCACACCCACCTTTTATTGGAGACAATGGGCACCCGCCAGCCCTTGATCTGGTTGAGCTCGGTGTCCGAGATCTCGATCTGCAGCGGGAGCCGGGGCACCCACACGGTCATCTCCAAGGAGCTGCTCAGGTGCTGGTAGGTGAAGTTCACCACCACATCCACCTTGCCTTTCATTTCCTTCCCATTGACGAAGACGTAGTCACATCTGTCAGACACCTGGGAAGGGGGGGAGGCAGTGAGATCTTACTGTACCCCAGCACCGCGGAAACAGCAGAGAAGGTGGAGGCGGTGAGGCGAAGTGCCCTCGCTCTTTGAGGCATGAGCCCTGCAGTGGACGCTGCTCTCTGCTTTCGGCTGCAGCAGATGCTGTGGGGATCTGACCACTTCTCCCAGGACCCCTTCTTCCAGTCTGCATGCAGACCGCCCCCCCGCCCAGGCACCACTGACCTCCCCTGCTGCACCTCTGACAGATGGCCCTTAGGTGTCGGGAGCCATGCCCTCAGCCATGGGTGCTGTGTGCTGCCCACCCGCCCCATGGCCTGCTGACCTCTGGTTTTCCTGGAGGAGGGACACTGTGTGCACAGCCACCACCCTGAGGGCCTCCTGCAGGCAGACCAGCTAGTTTCACGAAAACTACCCTGCTCAGTTCCCCTCATCTGTGCGTCCTGTGTTCTTTTGCTCCCATGTGGATTTCTGCAGAGAACATCCCACCTCAGTTGTGGGGGCGGATGTGACCCATACTCTTCATGGTTCCTTACTGAGTCCCATGGGATTTCTCCCCACTTGCCCAGCAGGGGCGCTACCCCCTGCTGGTGTCTCTTCCTTCCCTGCTTCCTGTCTTGCCCCCTCTCCCTCACTCTGCCTCCTGGAGCCCCTCCCCTGTTAAGTCCGTGTCCCAGGCTCTGCGCCCCAGATAGGGAGACGCGGGCACATGTGAGCTCATGCCGTCCACCGGGCAGCCTGAGACCAGGCTCTCCCCCAGGAAGGGGCAGAGCCACGGTCGGGCGCTGGGGGTGCAGCTCTGCAGTCCACGTTCTCAGCTCCTGCCCCGTACAAGACTGCTCTTCTCTGCTGGCGTCTGAGAGAAGAACTAAGACCTCTTGTCTGTTTTCCAGCAATCCGGGGGCCTTCCTTCTCTCCTGAACCAGACCTGGGTATGTGTGCTAGGCTGATTCATGGCCCCAAAGATGTCAGGCCCCAAATCTCTGGAACCTGTCAGTGTGACCTTTTTTGGCAAAAGGGACTTTGCACATGGGGTTCAGTTAAGGATGTTGAGTTGAGCAGATTATCAGGGGTTGTCTGGGTGGGCCCCCAGGGTCATCTGAATGCCCCCACAAGAGGGAAGTGGAAGGAGATTGGTGGCTGCAGCAGAGGAAGGCCACCCAAGTGGGATGCCACGCTGTGGGCTCTGGCAATGCAGAACAGGACGAAGGCACCTCCAGAAGCTCGATAAAGCAAGGACATGCCTCCCCCTGGAGCCTCGGGAGGGAGCGCAGTCTGCGCACCTCTGGTCCTCGGGCTGCCCAAACTGCTTCCCGACACCTGCCTTCCAGAACGTGCTGTGTGGAGCCCAGGCATGTGCTGATGTGCTGCGACGGGCCTCGGACACGGACACAAGCCCGAAGTGAGCGTGGAGGGAGCACCTGCGTTGACTGAGCGCTTATCACGTGCCCGGACCAGCAGCTGAGCGCGGCTCATGTGGTCTCCGCACACAAAAGCACACAGAAGGCAGGGGGTTTGTCCCAGACGGTCAGCCTGAGGCCCCAAGACGTTCGGTAAAGCTTCCCGGGGACACACAGCTGGAAACGCAAGGCCCAGACCCCCGGCCAGGCCACCCCGGCTGTCTCCTCCTGCAGGTGCAGCATCCCTGCCTGAATGGTCTCGCGGGCTGGATCCGTAAAGGACGCACACCTCCCTCCAGCACTTGGAGGGGCATGAAGAAAGCAAAGCAGGAATTATCACGTTGTTCCCACATCATAAAAAGCATTTCCAGCGAAGGCCCCTTTCATCTCCGCCGTTAGGCAGCCGGGATACAAAACACACAAAGAGGCGCCGAGAGGTTCGGCGTCCGGGGATGATCAGGAATGACTCTGGAAAGAAACGTGGACCCAGGCCCACTGATGAGTCAGAGGAGGTTGTCATCCTAAATATCTGCCAATAGCAAAAGTACTTAAGTCTGATGGAAAGGCCGAATGGAACAGCTCGGGCGGCTTTGTCGCCATTGTGGCCCGGCCACAGCGCTCCTTGCTGGGCCACAACGCTCCTTGCGGTGGGCCTGCAATCTCAGGCTTTTTCTCTTTCAAGGCTTCCAGCAAATCAGGCTGATTGTCACAGATGAGCTGACTGGGGGAGGGAGGGGGAGGGGAGGAGGGGCTTGGTGGCAGTTTTCAGGGCCATGGGCTGTTTCAGGGATGTAACTTTCTGGCCTCTGGGTGGAGGAGGTGTTCTAGCGGAAGAAGGTGGGAGAGCGTCTTAGGCGTGCCTGCCACCCCGGGCCCCCCGTGGAACACAGAGCAGAGCAGGCACTGGGTTAGATTATGAATACAGAGCTAAGTCTTCATGTTGTGTTACATTTTGCTTTGCTTTGAAGCTCAGTGTTTATTCCTCAAAGCAAAAAGAAAAAGGGGGAGGGAAGGCAGGACTTCACAGCTAAGCAGTGTGCTCTGAGGAGCAGGTAGAGCCTGGCACCTGGGGCGGGAACTGCAACATTGGGGCTGAGGGCGGGGCGCGGAGGTGGAGGTATGCACGTGTGTGCACGCATGTCCGTGTGCGTGTGTGGGTGCACGCGTGTGCACATTCACGTGTGCAGTGTATGTGTGCACGTGTGTGCATGCGTGAGTGCGCGGGTGCATGGCTGTGCACATGTGCGTGCATGCGTGTGCATGTGTGGGTCTACGTATGCATGTGTTTGTGTGCATGGGTGGGTCTACGTATGCATGTGTTTGTGTGCATGCGTGTGCGTGTGCGAGCATGAAGTGTTCACGACAAGTAATAAAAGCACAAACTGTATCTGACTGCAGGGTCTGTGAATCTCCACCCCTACACTTCTCTGGGTTTCCGCGCAAGGCCCGAGTCTGCACGTGGCAGGGAGCACGACGGCTTGCCAGCAGCATCTGGCCCTAGCTCGGGTGCACAGTGGGACTGTCCTAGCTCATGTGTTGTTGGACAGGGAGGGGACCATCTTGACAACAAGTTGTGAGCTGGAGCCACGTGTCACCTCCTCGTGGGAACACTTCATTTCTCAAGAGGGACCTTCCAGGGCTCCCCATCCCTCTCCGTGGTGCTGACAGTGCTGGGAGCCCAGCAGCCTGCGCCCCTGAGCTCAGAGCGCCCCCCCCCCCCCCAAGCCGCAGAGACAGGTGGCAGGCGGCCCGGGTGGCAAGCTCAGCTGTCTCGTGTGAAGTCGCTGATAACCCCGGGTTACGTTCCTTCACGTCAGCCAAGCTATCCCCACCCGGTCACATGCACAGACACGTCCTGATGCCTGCATTAGTAGAGAAAGAATGCACCAAATCCACAGATTTCGTGGGCTGCAGCAGAATGAATGAGACACGTGAAGGCAGATGAAATAATGAGGGCGGTGTTGGGAAGATCCTAATTCCTGAAACACAAAATGAGCCAGGAATGTAACTGGGGTCTGCCCCGGGGGCCAGAGGTCTTGGTTATAAGCAAGCATCTTTCCATAATGCCCAACTTAGGGGACCCCCTTCCCCAGCACTGCCTCAAGCTAATGGCTTTCTAATGATGGAAACGGTGTGCAAAGGAAGCGAATGAAAATCAGGGAGGAATGACCTGCGGGCTTGCGAGCATCACCTTGGAGGAAGCTTTGGGGAGGTTGCAGGGGATCCGAGGAGAGAAGGAGATGCCACACAGGAAGGACTCTGGCGGTGAATGAAAGGGGGTGTCCTGAGCCTCTGTGCTGGGGAGTTGGGGGGCATGACACCTGCCTGGGCATCCCAATGCTCATAATCGCATGGTTTTGGGACCCAGCACCACTGGGCCCTGCTTGTTGCCATTTTCACAGGGGGAGGAGACTTCAGCCTGGGGGTGTCAGAGATCTTTCTCTGCCTATGACTCAGCTCGGGCTGCAAGTCGGGGGGCTGATGCCCTGCTGGCTCTCCCCGTCCCATCCCTTGTTGCTTCCGAGTGCAGTCCAGCCTGTCCGCAGGAAGCAGAAAGGCGGGGGGGGGGGGGTGTGGTGTGAGAGAGGGAGGGAAATTCACATGGCAGATGACATTCAGTTAAAGATTTTGAGATGAGATTGTCCTGGATTTGGAGGCAGGTTGCAAATGTAATTGGCGTCTTGTAAGGGAGATGCAGAGGGAGACCTGGCAGGCAGAAGAGGAGGAGGCCATGTGGAGGTGAGGCCGATGTGCAGGGACGTGGCCACACAGGCAGGAGGGCCGGTTGTCAGCAGCCCCTCCAAGGGGCAGGAACAGCTCCTCCCTGGGGCCCCTGAGGGGAATCACTCAGGCTTCTGGCCTCCAGAACCGTTAAGGAAAGCATTCCTGTTGCTTTAGGGCAGCAAGCTCATGGTCATTTGTCACAGTGGCCACCGGAGACTAGCCCGCCACCCGGGCGCAGCTCTCCCTGCTATGTCCTCCAATTATAGGCCTGAGCTCTGGCGCGTTCCTCACTGAGCCTCCCGCATGAGGCACCGGCCCACGCTCGGTCCAGGCAACCTCACTGCAAGGCTGGGCCCACCCCGAGTTGGGGAGACACCCGCCGGGTCCCCCAGAGCCCACCTGGGTCGACCCACATCCTGTGGTCCCCACAACAGCCAGATAGGCGGGATTCGTCCCATCCCCGGGCCCCCATCTTCCCCTCCCTCTCCCTGACTGTCGCCAGATGAATGGACACACCGATCAGTCCGGGTGAGTGGACAAGACCTGCCCGTTCCTTCTGAACCACGCTGCATGGTGCTGAAGGTGTGAGGGAACCCTGTGGGGGGACTCGCCCCTCTTTCAGACTCCGCTTCCAGCCAGCCACACTGTGCCACCGAGAGGATACGTCAACAACACCGACTCCACTGTGCACAACCCATCACTTGTGTGAATTTAATGCCGCTCCTCTCTTCTGTTTGCATGCGGTAAGAATTCAAATCTTATTTAAATATCATCAACGTTCATGGTAAAATTTATGTTCTTCTGATGTTTTCTCTTTCCTTTTTTCTCCCCGAGAGCTAGACGTAAGGATGCTAAAATTCTACCCCTCCA